TGGAGAGTTGGGAATTTGGAGATTTAAAAATTTTGGTATTTGATGCCTTGAACATTTATTGATTTTAAAAATTGAAATTTTGAAAGTTTAAAATTTCAGTTCCTAACTTCCAAAACCACAAACGTCGAAATTGTTTAACTCCTAAATCCACATTATACATCAACCATCTTCCTCCCCCTCCCTACGGGCTAAACGATATTCATTTGGTGACAATTCCATTAATATGCAACGTTTAACAGAATCGCGAAAAGATCGCCGCGTTTACGCAATTCTTAATTGAGATCATTTCATTGACTTCAAGAAACACGAATTACCGTATTCTCGACTTCATTGAAGTAACGTTACGATCAGAATCTTCTTTCCTTAATTAAATTTTAATTCCTGAAGCTTAAATCATCCTTCCGGTTACACAGCTATCGCGGGTAATAAGATGGATCGGATAACAGGATAATCGAACGAATTTCAATTACGTGCATTCATTTCGAACGTTTGCTCTTAATGAAGCAGCCGAGAACGCTTCGAATAATTACAATTTATTCAAGCCTGATCGGTGATGTTTCCGTTATAAACCTGTTTTAATCGATCGAAGATCGTGAAACCATAACTTCGTTTCAACGTGCTTTAGAAAGAGATGTTAAACTTCCGAGGCAACTGCGCCGAGTTTTTGACTCATTTTCTTACTTAATATGTGTGCCATAAAAGTGATAAGTGTTCGGGCATTTATTACGTAGCTGAAAAAATTGTAGCATATGATTAACTCGTTCGTTAACGCTGGTCGGCTGTGCTGACAATTTTGTGTGGAAACTGGGACTCGCAAATACTGTTAACATGATTGCTATAGCAATTTAATGTAGATATAGTTGGGAATTTATTCGTAGATCATAATATTTCCAAATTGTAATATTCTCAAGTTCCAGTATTTTCAAATTATAATATTTCCGAGTTCCAATATTTTTAAATTCCAGTATTTCCAAATTCCAATATTTCCAAATTCCAATATTTCCAAATTCCAATATTTCCAAATTCCAATATTTCCAAATTCCAATATTTCCAAATTCCAATATTTCCAAATTCCAATATTTCCAAATTCCAATATTTCCAAATTCCAATATTTCCAAATTCCAATATTTCCAAATTCCAATATTTCCAAATTCCAATATTTCCAAATTCCAATATTTCCAAATTCCAATATTTCCAAATTCCAATATTTCCAAATTCCAATATTTCCAAATTCCAATATTTCCAAATTCCAATATTTCCAAATTCCAATATTTCCAAATTCCAATATTTCCAAATTCCAATATTTCCAAATTCCAATATTTCCAAATTCCAATATTTCCAAATTCCAATATTTCCAAATTCCAATATTTCCAAATTCCAATATTTCCAAATTCCAATATTTCCAAATTCCAATATTTCCAAATTCCAATATTTCCAAATTCCAATATTTCCAAATTCCAATATTTCCAAATTCCAATATTTCCAAATTCCAATATTTCCAAATTCCAATATTTCCAAATTCCAATATTTCCAAATTCCAATATTTCCAAATTCCAATATTTCCAAATTCCAATATTTCCAAATTCCAATATTTCCAAATTCCAATATTTCCAAATTCCAATATTTCCAAATTCCAATATTTCCAAATTCCAATATTTCCAAATTCCAATATTTCCAAATTCCAATATTTCCAAATTCCAATATTTCCAAATTCCAATATTTCCAAATTCCAATATTTCCAAATTCCAATATTTCCAAATTCCAATATTTCCAAATTCCAATATTTCCAAATTCCAATATTTCCAAATTCCAATATTTCCAAATTCCTATATTTCTAAATTCCCATATTTTAAAATTCCAATATTTCCAAATCCTTGCATCCCCGAATCCCTACACCCCCAAATTTCTACATCCCCCAAATCTCCACATCCCCAAATCCTTACATCTCCAAATTCCCACATCCTCAATTTCCCACATCCCCAAATTCCTACATCCTCAAATTCCCACATCCCCAAATCCCTGCATCCCCAAATTTCCACATCCCCAAATCTCCATTCGCACAGATCCCTACATACCCCAAATCCTTATACCCCCAAATCTCCATTTCCACAGATCCCTACATACCCCAAATTCCCCTCATCATCAAATCCTAAGGTCCCCAAATTTTCATTCTCACTCGTCCCTAATTCCTGTCTTCCCAGATATCATAAAGACCTTGAGAAACAGTTCCCATTTCATTACCATATTTCCCGCCAAAAATTCCGATTTTTTCATACTTTACACGTACTAAACACTGAAATAAAAAAACTACTTAACTAGAAAACTACCATTCGAAAAATCCAATCTGATCATTTTTCCTACGGTCGGTATGTACTTAAGAATCCTGATTTCACCGTGAACCACGTGGGCGATTGATCGATTCGAAGATCTATTCGTTACGAGGCTGCACGTAGCCGGCCGTAGGAAAGGCTACTAGCGGAGTTGGCTAGAATAAATTGTTAATTACACGGAACCGTAGTGGTTAAAGAGCGCGTGGGAGCTTTTCGTTACGGGACCGGTTTCGGCGATGCCGATTAATTTTCACACTCGGTTTCTAATTGGAAAGGATCCTGCGGCCGCTAGGAAACGCGACGTTTGTTTGCGGAAGTGTAACTCCGTGGCCGATAATTGAACACGGTGATCAGACTTTAAAAACGTTACGGCGAAAGTGTAGCGTGTTTTGTCGCTGACCTCTCTTCTCGCCCCGTCACACTGTTGATTTATGGTTTTAGAGGTTAATTCCACACGACTTAACGACTCTGTCCATTGTTAATGTCGTTAAATTCTAAAGATACTGCTATAGGGGATACATTATGGCGTGGATATATACAGGGTGTCTCATTCTTTTATCTAATTCATTGTTTCATCAAATTTTATCAAATTATTACACACACAAAAATATTACACTAGTATAGGCTTTTGAGTACTCTATTAAAAAGTACGAAAGTCTATGACGAAAGTACAAAATGACTTTGTTCAATTTTCAAGTAAAATGAATTGGGGTACGATTTCGATGTATTCCTAAATGCGCATGCGCATAGTGCACAGCGCAGGGCTGATTCGAATCCTTCCGTTTGTTGCTGAGTTAATCTAGTAATACACGTCTGGACTAAAATTATGTACGAGTATAAAGAGTACACAAGGCGATATTCAACAATACTTTTCAGAGAGAGACAGGATACCAATTTGAATGCCCAAGTCAAATGAATCGGGGGTGAGAGTGTTTCGACGTATTTCGAAATGCGCATGCGCACAGAGTGCAAATATGGCGGTCGTCAAAGAACGGTTTAAACTGCACATTCACCAGTAATTTATTTGTAATAAATATTTTGTCATTCCTCTGTAACACATTCATCTGTATTTTCTGATACATAGTCATTTCTTTATAAGTTATTTGTAATAGTCATTTCTGTATGCTTAAAATATATTGTGTATGTCTTTCTTTTTCAACTTTTCAATCTTGTAAAATTGATGTGAATACTTCGAAAGCCGATGTTAGTAATACAGAGAAAATTTATGACAAATAGATTTCTAATTATTAAAGGTTTACGTGACAGTTGATTTTCCCACTCGTTTAGGGAACCAATTTGAAGGGACATTTTCTGAATAACAAAGGTACCTGAAGTGTCTTTCTTCTCTCTATTATGGTTTCTTTCACCGTACTGTGGGGTCAGCCGTATTAAATATGTTCACCCTGCATCTCTTATTGATGTAAAAGGGGTAAGAAATATCGAATAGCTTGAGCGGTTCGAAGAGATTGCGTGATCGGCCAACATCAATTTCGAGGGTGATTCTCGTCGCTGTCGGAAGAGCCTCGAAAATTTCGAATGCCTCTGTAATCGAAGGACCACCTCCTGATGCTCGAAGCTGAATAAGGAGAATGCGTGAACCATCTTCCTCCTCTGCGCCGCCATTTACTTTTTTCTTCTTTTGTTTTCATTCTCTGCGATAATGGCATTCACGCGCCGTGGCTTAATAATACAGAATATTAATGACTTGGTGTATCTTCGTAAGATCGGTGGGTGTTCAATGAAAGAGGAAAAAAAACGATGAAATTTCAAGTGGGGTTTGCGTTAAAGTTGCGACGAGGCTTCCAGCTGGATGCAATTTCAATCGTGCTGGTTAAAATAACTGTTCTGAAGAATGGGAGGAAATGTCTTCGTGTGGATTAGTTGATTTTTTCAGTGACTTTTGTATTTATTATAGAAAGAAAAATCAGGACTTAGAAATTTAGAATTTTTTGAGCTCTGCAGATTTGGTGCGTTGGGGACTTGAATATTGAATAAATTAGCAAATTGAAGAATTTGGGGAATTTGAAAGTGTATAGAGGGATTTGAAAATCTCAGAGTTTGGAAAATTTGAAAATATGTGGAGTTCTAGAATACTGATAATACAGAATACTGTGAATTTTAGAATTTGTAGAAATTGAAGAATTCGGGAAACCTGAAAACTTGCGAATGTTTCTGCAATTTGCGATTCAACAATTTTTAAAACAGCGAATTCTTAGTATTACAAATTTGTGTATAGGAGTTCCTAATTATAACTTGATAATATAATAATATGAGTCATATACATTCTTTCCCTGAACAATATCTTTCCAAATCCTGCTACCTAATTACTATACCTCACTAAAACTGATTACCTAAACGAACCACTTACAGCAAAGACGAATTCCGTCCCCGTTTCAATTAAAATCACAGCTTCATCGAACGACGAAAGGCAATATCGTCGCTCTTTGACTGCACGTTGAACAACAAACAGTACCCCGGCGGTGTCATATTAATGAAGCATACAAGCAGGAACTCGTTCGACACCATAGCTTACACAACGCGCTAATTACGTTATCTAATACGTTCGAGGTGTACACGGAGTCGTGGCAGTCTGGCACGGTTTCGCCATCGATGGATGTAACTTGACGCATTCCTGTTCATTATCTAATTTGCCGATCGTTTTGCAGGCTCACGTGCCCCGAGCCCTATTTCGTCAGCGAGGGCTTGTACGCCATGTTGGAGGAGTTGGAGAACACGCGTGAGGTTACTCTACACGTGATGACCATCGGCAACTTCATCAACGATCCGGCTAAGGTAAGTCGTTTATTCTTACGCAATCATTTTCTTTTGGCTATGAACCTGATTTTAGGTCTACAAATTAAATTCACGCAACTGTTTATTTTAAATTTTGAGTATGGTTAAACATTGGTGAGCATCGAAGACGTTTTTATACATAGTGCTAGAGGCAGAATATAAATTCAACATAGCATTGCAGATATAGAACGCTATTAAAGGGAGTTGTAGCTAAGGTGATTTTGAACAATTTTCTTCTTTATACAAATGAAGTATGAAGTTCCACTTTTGAATTATTAATGAAATCACATGAGAATCACTTCAGCTCCTCCTTTGTGGGAGTGACATTACTTATGAGTCACCCTGTATATGTATATATATTTTCTCATTCTAATAATGGAGAATGAGTTTGCTCCTTATGACTAAATAAAGTGTAGTATGTTTTTGGAGTTTGTGGCTATTGCTAGGATGATCTTGTAGCAAATATTGCTCAGACAAGACATGCTTGATCACATTAGACAAAACATTGATCATCTAATAATGAATTTCAAATTTGCAACATCCTCAACACACCCACTAAAAAACAGTTAACACAAGATTATTTCACTCAAGAAACCAAATAAGTTTCATCTAAAAAACTTTGTTCCATCATCAACCGTGGGACGTTTCAAATGTCCCACCCAGTGCATTCATAAAGAGTCCAAAATCCGCAAAGAATGTTCTTATTCCTCTGGAAAATTAGCCGCGGCGTAATAACAAGCAGATAGTCGAATAAATAAAAACACGGCTAATTGCAAGCACGGGGATGTCGGTTCATTCGTCGACCCTTCGTTATCTGACGCGAGCACCGATTAAAATTACGTACGACCATGTAGAACCGTACGTCGGTCTCGCACGTTGCCCGGGCTATCTCCGGGCCCTCTTCTCGGGTCGCTAATTAAATGCAACGGCTAATTAGATAACTGATAAAAGGTTATGGCGGTCCGCGAGCCGCACGATGTACTTTTGGCTCCTCTTACATTCTCTCTAGTTCATTATCCTTCTCTCGCCGCCACAGTTCTCTTGTGTTTCTCATCTTTTTCCTCTTATCCCCCGATGTTGCTTTTTTCCGTTCCCTTATCTTGTTCTCTTGCTTCTTGTTCCTCTTCGAAGTTTCTTATCTGACTTCATTTCTTGCCTCTGTTCTCTGCTCTTCTTCCTCTTTCAATCTTTCTCCTAAGATTCCCTCTTTGTCCAAACATCGGATTTGTTTCTTTTCCTTCGACGTGTTTTTGCTCGTTAAGCTACTTTCTCCGCTTGCCACTGTAATCCTTTCTCTTATGCGTATTTTCGTTGGCTAATTTGTTTGTTTGAACTTGATGCTCTTTATCTTGTATTCTTTTGCTTCGCCTGGCATCTCTTTGCCGAGGGTTCCGCCCGCTTTATCCGCTACATCTGTGTTTTCTTGTCGTGGGTTATATTTCATTTTCTTCCCTTGCTCTTCGGGCTTTATCTTCAATAGCTGTTTGTTTCTTCTCGCTGTTTCTTTTCCTCTCCCACGATGTGAGCCCTGTTTGTTGTTCGTTCTTCCTTCATTTCTTCTTCTGCTAACACGAATGAAGTACGAGTTACAACTGTTGCTTCTGTTGTTAATTATTATTCCTTGTCTTCTTTCGGGCCGTACGTTCGTGGCAGACCTGTGTTATTCTCGTGTACAATGAGGATAAATCTGTATTTTATTATGTTGTACGGTATTACGGTCTGTTAGTGGCAACACGATGCACTTTTGTTATTCCAATCATTTCTCAACGAATGAAAAGTGACTCGGGCTTTCAAATGAAATTTTAATACAGTATGAATTAAATGGAACAAACTTTTTAATGACATGTATGAAGATAAAGTCACTCGTATGACTACGACAAGGTTCTGCAAGAAACTATAAATTTATATACAAAATGTTTTATGCGATTATCAGTAGGTAGAATGCATTTGTTAACTTAATTTATAATAATTATTAGCTACGTAAATACAGACTCACTAACAGCAACCTCATTTTTATTAAAAAATGACTGTAACAGCAAAATGAAGTAACATTACACATCAGTGTTTATATTTATTTTTTCTAATTTAACGTCGTCTTTTCATTTCTTCTGTATTTATGTTTCTTCCCCTTGTCTTACCGTTGTAACCATAAGTGCCCCGCATTCACCCTTTTCCATGGTTCTTCGAAACAGTTACTTGCGTTAATTCCGCCCCGAAACTCGAAACTCGGCTCGAATGCCAGCGTCGATGAGGTATCCGCGACCTTGAGGCTTTAAAGGCTTCGCTTTGGATAGCAGCATAGAATGAGCAGCGACGTGGGAAATCTAATTAATGCGTTTTTACTTGGAACGAAGTACTACGTGGAACACCGTTCCGAGAACTCAGCTGGTGTGCTCTAGGTGGTGCAACTCGGACACGTGCTCGTTAATCTCCTAGCGTACGCTAAGATTGTGGGGTAGTGATCCGTTTTGCACTGGCTCGCGAGTAAATATTCCATATAATTAGCTTCCTTGTGCATTAGTTTCCTTATACTTTGTTGTACATTTCTGTGCTCATGGATTATCGAATCAGTTGAGGGAAGACTTTCAAGTTCTTCTTAATTTTTTAAATTGTAGATTTTTAGAGTTTGGGATTTGGCGATTTGGGGATTTCAAGATATAGAGGTTTTGAGATTTGGGGATTTTGGGGATTTTGGGGATTT